TGGCCCTGGGTGGCCTTGCTCGCCTCTGTATCTAGCACTCTGGGAGCTGGAGGCAGCGGATCTTGGACTCGCTCAGATCAGGGTTCGAGACCACCTGACAAGAGCAACGACCGTTTGCTTACTAAAATAGAAAGAAATTATTGTCCAACTACAACATATACTAGAAAATCTAGATTACGTAAAAATCTATAGAAAAATGACACACGCCTCTGTAGTCCAGCTACTTGGGAGGCCTGAAAGCAGAAGGAATTGCCTGAACCAGGCATGTGTGAGCTTGCTGTGAGTCACCCCCTAGGCTGAATGCAGGCACTCTAGCCGGGGACGAGGTGAGACTCTGACTCAACCAAAATATATATAGAGAGAGCTATAGATTGACTAATCGTTATATAAGAGCATGTTCTGCAATGGAATACTTTTCTTACCTTCAAGAATTTCTCAGATATGCCTATACTTTTAGTTTTGATTTCCTATTTGGCCCTGGATTCTTTCTTATATTTTGTTTTCTAAGTTATACATCCCTTCTTCTTTTGTTTGTGCTTGTCTGATTGAAAACAAAAAGAAAGAACTCACTTTCTCTCCATTCACATGAGTATCTTTCAGCTTTCTTCCCTTAATGGGCTTTTTCTGCTTTAAAAACTGATTATTTTGTCTCTTCTTCACATGCCTGTAAGTGTACTTAGCTGTAATGTGGTTTACTGAAGCATCAAGTTCAAAATTCATATTCTTTAAAGGAGACTTTTAATGACATTATGGATGAACGGCATGTTAACATAAGTACTCCCCAGGTCACTGTACTTTGCAAGACTCTTATCTTCCCAGCCACATGTTTTATTTTTTTAGCAGCGCCATAGGAGCACAATCACACCCCCGACTTTTTGGCTTGGCTTGGGACTTTCTAGACAAGCACGCTCGTGGTCAGAGAGTAGGGCAGTTAGGGCCTCTCGGCCTGATTTGACCTCCTCGTGGCTTCAGGCACCTACTCTGTAAGATGAAGGACCTTTCCTAAAAATAGATTAGTGGCATCTCACCCTACCTAGATTGACTCCTCATGTGAACTCTCAATTGGGTACCCATCCGCCAAAAAACAGTGTGGAGGACTTCTCAGAGGCAACTCTGTGACGTGGGCGAGAAATGGGACGTACAAGTCAGTGCACACAGACTATGAGTAATGGAACAACTCAGTTCCTTTTATACTACTGTTGATGTTCTACCTCCATTTTACCCCGCTCAATTTTCTCCCTTCTTTTGCGAAACTTCATACCCTCTGGGGGCCTTAATGTCTCCTTTTCCTCCATAACTCTTCATCGCTATTAAATTTGTGTTCTGTACATCACCCTTCTGCTGTTATGGATCTCCCAGCTCCCATGCAGATCATCACTCTCTGGGGCCTGGAATCTTGTCATCATTATCACTTAGAATCTCAAGCCATCTAGCATCGATATTTGTGGTTTGGCTGGTTCTAATCTTATTCAATTGCAAGCATCACCAGGATGATGTCCTTGAGACGAACAGTCGGAAAGGACAGTAGAAAAGTAGTTGAGCCAGTCCAGTATCAGAGTGTCTAGGTGAACTTCTCTCCGGACGCTCGTTCTGCGATCTGCAGATCTGACCCTGTTTCACGTCCTAAACGCGAACTCACAGGAGAATTTTAACTCCAATAAATGCAGCCAGGCGTGGTGGCTCACCCTGTGGATCCCAGCACCCTTTTCGGAGGCCTGAGATGGGAGTATCGCTTGAGCGGCCAGGCAGTTCCGAGAACACAGCCTGGGAAATATGCCAAGACCCTATCACTCGTACAACACA